TAGGAGCTATATGTAACCTTTTCTTACTTGAAATAATCATTAGTCACTTTACATCTAAAAACATATTTACATATGGTTGCATTTATTGCAGGGTACACATTGTAAAATCCAGAATGCAAAATACCATGAGATATGTCCCAAATATGTCTTTGGCTTTTGTTGAAACCTTACTGTTCTCCCCACTCCTGCTTCTTACAACAGAACATGAGGGACAAAAATATCACTAAGACCTTCTAAAATTACTCTATGGACCCTGGCTCATAATTTAAACTGTCCATTGCCAGTTTAATCAACTAGAGTTTTAACTGATATACAAACTGAATCTTGCTACATGTTGTCCAGTGTGTACGTAGCCTTCGGAATCTTTGCTAGGAGACACCAAGCCTTCTTCTTACTGAGTATATTATTCCAGACAAGAGTAAAATAACCCTAATTGCTGTTTAGAGTGAGTATTGACTATGGATGGGCAAAAACCGAATTACGAACCAAAATTTGTCATGAACCGGGTGTGGTTTGTGGTATGCGAACCTCGGTTCATGCCATCCCACCCTCACAAGCCCTCCCAGGTGGGCTTGTATGGTTCGTGTTGGTAGACATGCTGGTGCCGGCAGGGGGCTTGGAGAAGGCATTTAAAGAAACTGCAGTCTCTTTAAATGCTTTCTCCAAGCAACGGCACCACCACAGCACAACTCACAAGTGAACTGAAAAGGCATTTAAATGTCTTCTCGGTTGAATTGTGCTGCCACCGCAGTGAGACTCGCAAGTGAACTGGGAAGGCACTTAATCAACCAAGAAGACATTTAAAGGTTCCCTTTAAATTTCAGTGATTCCTTTCGCTCCAAGGTGTGTGTGTGTGGGGGGGAGTGACAGGGATTGCTGAAATGGCTTGCAAAAGCCATTTAAATGGAATGTTTCCTTTAAATGTCTTTTGCACGCCATTTCAGCAATCCCTATCACTCCCCCCTCCCCCTCTTCCAGGCTTCCAAGCGGGTGGAGCGAAAGGGATTGCTGAAATGGCTTGCAAAAGACATTTAAAGGGAACATTCACTTTAAATGGGTTTTGACATTGGGCACTGTGTGGGAGTGGAGTCTAAGCAATGAATTCACCTGGAAATGTTGAACTCGCTGCTTGGACTCCACTCCTGTGCAGCACCCACTTGCAAAACCCATTTAAAGAAAACATTCCCTTTTAATGGGTTTTGGAAGATCTCCCCTCTCCCTTCCATTCTGCTTGCCTCGGGGAGTTTCCCCAGGAGAAGGGGGGGGGATCCATGAACCTCAGAAACACAAACCAGTCCGCAATGCGAGGGAGGTTCATCCCCGTTCGTGGGACCTCATGAACCCTGAATTGGAACAAACCTCCATTTTCCCATCCCTAGTGTTGACTATGCCAGGGAGCTGTTTAGCATTGGACTTCTGTCCATGGAATCTTTCCTTGTAGTCTAATTGACAGTACCAGTTATAGGGAATGTAATGGTATAGCTAGTGATGATGATGTTCGCGTTTCAGCTTTCTGTGTTGGAGAAGTCTCATAGCTGGATGCCTTACAGTGTCTCTCCTCCTATCGCAGTCGACTAATGTTCTGGGCCTTTGCTAAATACCATCAGCTCAAAATGAAATAACTGGTTTGCTTTGCTTCATATCCCACCCCCGTCCAATAACCAGACCTTTCCTGCTTTCTAATGGATTAATGCTTCCTGACTTGTCAGTGGCCCCCTCAATTAATTCAAGATTGCAGTGTAATCGGCGTTTGCGAAATATCTTAGTGAACATATGCAGAAGGAAGTGTGGATGCCTCACTCCCTCCTTCCGTGATAGGCATCTTGCACAGGGACTATTTCTTTCTTGTTTTACATTAATGAAGTCTTCACTCTTCCCACTGTTAACACCTACGCATGTACTGAACGTCTCCAAGGAGACAAGGAAACCCTTGAGTCCAGCAATGGTGAATCCTCCAATGAGGCAGCAAGCAAGAGGCAACTCCTTGAGGCATCTAAGCTTCCAGCTGTCCTCCTGCAGACATTAATTTGCTTCTGGCTCCTACAGGCAGGCTTTTCTCCTTTTGCATCTGAAATGTTGGTGAGTGCTTCAGGCTTCTCAGAGCGAGCTGGGTGGGGAAAACATACCGTGCATCTCTTTGTTCTCTTTCCCCCCAGTCTTCTGTATATGTCAGCCAGCTATCTCCTCAACTATTCCAAATGCATTTCCAGCTCTGGTACTGCCGCCACCAATCCTCATTTTGCAGCTTTCCTGTTTATTGTATCTAAATCCAGTGATTGCTGGATGTTTCATAAGGTTGATCCTTGACTGCTAAGCACCTATTACCTGAGTTGCACTATTCTCTAGATAGTGTTTTCAGCCAGGTATGTCACAGTGTTTGAAAGGGAATCCTGTTTGCCTCATTCCTTCAGCTTGCAAGCACAGATGTGTGTTCTCCATTAGTTTCTTTTGAAAGGAAGCTGCTTATCGCCGCCCCCCCCCCCCCCCCAATACAGCACACAATTAATTTACAGCATTCATTGTCATGAGATGTTGTGACGGCAAGTCCATTAGATGGCGTTCAGGACAACAATTAGGGAAGGTAGTGTCAAATAAGTATTTAATATTCAGAGAAGTTCCATACCTCAAACCATAGGAGATGGCTATCCATTTTGTTTGACTGTATCTTACAGAGCATTGTTGGAAATTGATAAACTTTTGGCCTGATCCATGAAAGCAGTACAAAACCTTCCTATTGATCCCTTTCATGCAGGCTCTTTAAACCCGCTTTGGCTTCTGATTTTTTTCCAAAAGTTTTAAGGATAAAGCACAGCAATAGATATAGATATATTCTGGATCAAAACAGGTTCGGGTTCTAGAAAACCCAGATTAAAGCTTCATTAATGTGAAGAGTCGAACTCAACTGTGCGACTTAACAACAATCTGTGGGAGGACAGTGTTTTATCCTTAAGGTGTGTGAAACCTTTAAAAAAATTATTTTTGCCTTCAGAAGCCAGAGTAGGTTAAAGAGCCCGTATGAAACTGGTAGTTATCTAGTGCTCTAACAACAATCTGAGCCTGGGTCTGAACACCAAAAAAGCGAGGCCAGCGTCCGATACAGTTTACCATAAATGCTTCACAAGCCTGTCAGGCGTACTCCATGAAGGGAAACAAGGAGACCAATAATTTCATTTCGTTTCTGGGGGTGGTGTGTGGCATGAAGAGAATACAAGCACATACAACCAATTAAAGATGGTTTAATCTTCCAACCTAAAGAAGATCGTGTGTTCCACTAACCATAGGGTCTACTTATTCAGATGCTCATGCCCTACTGTAGTGAGGAGAGTTTGAGGAACATCATGGCATGGATGGAGCACTGCTCCTGATTGATCTGGGAAGGCGGCTAGGAAGGAAAGTAACATATGACATCCATCGTATTGTGGTATGGGGGGTGCAGGACTCTTTTTGTAGCAGGAACTCCTTTGCTTATTAGGCCACACACCCCTAATGTAGCCAATCCTCCAAGAGCTTACAGAGCTCTTCTTACAGGGGCTACTGTAAGCTCTTGGAGGATTGGCTACATTAGGGGTGTGTCACTTAATATGCAAATGAGTTCCTGCTACAAAAAGAGCCCTATGTGTATTTTCATCAGGCAGTTCTAGGGAAACAAAATGACCAAGTATCTTGTTTAGGGAATGCTGTTCTTATTCTGTCAGGAGGAGGCTGGGATGCTGGCCATTGTCCACGTCTTTGACTAATTAGATTAAAACACCCGAGGCAGTATTCTTACCAACAAATGTCTATTCCTGCTCTGATACTTCAGATGAAATATAGTATTGGCTTGTATACAATCTGGTGATCTCTTAGCTCCCCTTCCCATTGTGAACATTTGTCCAAATTTTCCCAGGATAAGGATGAAACAGTGAACCCATAGCGACAGCAATTTTATCAGCCAAGATTAATATGGCTATCCTTGTGTGCTGAGTGAGGTGACATTATGGATGGTCACTATTACCATGTGAAATTCGGGGGCTTTGATTTTCTCCTCTTGGTTAATTTTAATATTCTTGTGGCAACCACACTATCGCAGTGACAATTAAATGCTTCTAGGACTCGCCGTGATCTGGATAGCCCAGGCAAGTCCCATCTCATCAGATCTTGGAAGCTAAGCATGGCTCACCCTGGCAAGTATTTGGATGGGAGACCTCTAGAGAATACCAGGGTTGGGAGGCAGAGGCGAGCTATCAAGCCATTTCTCTGAACATCCTCCATGCCCCAGTAGGAATTGCCAGAGGTCATCATGATTTCCAGTCATGGGCACACATACACACATGTGCGCACATACACAAAAAATGCAAAAATACCCAAAGAATACTTCTAGGACTCTTTGAAGAAGAAGAAGAGAAGAGATTGGATTTATACCCCGCCCTTCACTACCCAAGGGAGTCTCAGAGCAGCTTACAAACTCCTTTCCCTTCCCCGCCCCACAACAGACACCCTGTGAGGTAGGTGGGGCTGAGAGAGCTCTGAAAGAAATTGCTATTTTTTCAAGGACAGCTCTTATCAGAACTATGGCTTGCCCAAGATCCTCCAGCCAGGTGCAAGCGGAGGAGTGGGGAATCAAACCCGGTTCTCTCATATTAGAGTCCGCGCACTTAACCACTACACCAAAAGAGTAAGAGTTGAGTCCTGTAGCACCTTAAAGACCAACAAGCTGTCTTGGTCACAAGCTTTCAAGTGTCAAGGCTTTCACAAGAGTCGCAGCGTTCTTTGTCGAGTACTTCATCAGATACCTTAATCAGATATATGATGAAGGGAGCTTTGACTCTCAAAAGCTTATACTCTGGTATTTTGTTGATCTTCAGAGTGCCACTGGACTCGAATCTTGCTCTTCCACTGCCAACCATCATGGCCACCCACCTGAAACTAGGACTCTTGTTGATCGTGCCTGTGGGAATGTATACGATACAACACATAATTGCACCTAGGTGAAACTTATTTTTATCATTCTTTTCTTCCAGGCTCTTCAGGTAGCAAGGCAGCTTCTGTTACAACAGCAGCAGCAGCAGCAGCAACAACAAGTTAGCGGGCTAAAATCTCCCAAGAGGAATGACAAACAGCCATCCCTTCAGGTAAGAAACGTATTTCTACTGATTTTTAATAACATACACAGTGAAATGTATAAAGTGAGGATGAGAGAGCATGTAAATTACACTGATGTTCAATAGTTTTGATTTTAAACATAATGATACATTTATAGAATGGATGTCAGTGAATTCTTCATATAGTGGTCTGTATCCATCCAGCTTTTCAGCTAATGAAAAAGGAATTGCTACCAAACATGCTACATGAGGACTCATGGGACCTGCCTGTACAAAATCTGTGTGGGACAGGAAAAAAACTGAATGAAAAGCTTGCTGGATCCAACCTAGTAACTGAGGTTAACCAGAAGGATTTTTAATGAGGACGCTCACACATTATGGGGGTTGATAGGATGGATGGTCATAGTATGATTGTTGGGATGGAAAATGGATCTTTAAGCATGCTCATTGTTGTTACCATTGGCACCAGTGGCTTGGCCTTGCTTGCTGTCAGTCATGTTAGAAACATGTCTTTGTGGACTGCTTCAGTAACATCAAGAACACACGGTATATCTGTGATTGGGAAGGGAGGCCATCACTCTGGCCTCTTCCATACTCTCACTTTTGTCATTCGTTTTTCCCTGTTGGCTTTTCCACATGTGTTGTGTTCCCTCTGGGACTACTAGAGAAAGCAAAACACATTTTTTGGGGGGGATCTCTGAATCAATAGGGACAAACGAGTGACAAAAATGACAGTGCGGAAGTGGCCACTATCAGGGAGAAGAAGAGCTGTTTCTGAGATGAAGCCTTCCATTATACACTGTGACTGGGATGGTCTGAAACCATGGACATTCATTGTGTTGTTGGTAACAGTTTTCTGGGGGAAAGGTCCATTCCTAGAAATAAGGAGTATTTTGAAACCCCCTAATTTGGGGTTAGGAGCTGCGGTGGCTCAAGTGGTTAAGACGCTGAACTGCAGGCTGTGGAAGGTCGGTAGTTCAGCAGTTCGAGACCCAATTGTGCCGCATGACGGAGTGAGCTCCCGTCTCTAGTTCCAGCTCCTGCCAGCCTAGCAGTTCGAAAGCAAGAAATTGCAAGTAGATAAATACTTCGGTGGGAAGATAACAGCGTTCCGTGCGCCTTGGTGTTTAGTCATGCCGGCTATATGACCACGGAAATGTCTTCGGACAATGCTGACTCTTCGGCTTTGAAACGGAAATGAGCACCACAACCCTAGAGTCGGATTTGACTGGCTTTAGAGCAAGGGAACCTTTACCTTTAATTTGGGGTTAGTTAAATTATGGTTGCAAAATGTAAACCAACCAAGCAAACTTTGAATTATATATAACAATTCATTAATACAGCTTTATGGTAAATGTTGAAGATTTTGTTGAAAAGACAATACTGATTAGATTGTTTCCCAGCGTCACTGATTTTGCCATGTCAAGGAACCTGTACATGAGCTTATATCTTCATTGTCTATGGACGAAACTTTGCAAGGAAATCTGTACATTGTTATGTTGTGTAGTGCTGCATTTATCTAGTTAGCTAAATCAGATTTATTTTGCCCCTGTCCTTCTGAGGTGGGGGAATACTTAGTTCTCCCTTTCACGTTTTATTCTCATACCATCCCCGGTAGGGTAGGGTATGGTAGGGTAGGGTAGGATGTAAGAGTGCTTTGTCCGAGGTCACCCAGTGAGTTGAATGAAGATTTGAAGCTGATATCCCTAGTTCTAAATTGAAGTTCTAAGTACTTGTATATCAAGTGAGATGCAGATTTGATGTCATGTTGTTTCCAAAGAAAAATTAGAAGTATCAGTTACAGATTTAGAACATAAGAGAAGCCAGTGTTGGATCAGGCCAGTGGCCCATCCAGTCCAACACTGTCACACAGTAGCCTAAAATTCCACGTGCCATCAGAGGAGGTTCATCAGTGGGGCTAGATCACTAGAAGCCCCCCTCCCACTGTCCCCCCCCCCCAAGAATACAGAGCATCACTTACCCCAGTGATTTAGTTTACAGTTTGGAGCAAAGACTGTTAACTCATAGAACTATGGTGGTAGCGATTTCTCTAAATCAACTAATTTCATTTCTGTACTAGAGGAATGTTGCTGTTCATATTACTTTTGCCCATTTGTTGCGTAAGTGATGTAGTAGATGCATTCATTTATTGATCTTCAGTTTTCATCCATAATGATTCTCAAAGTGCATCCAGTGATGAGAGAAGTGTCTACAGTTCAAATAAATTCTTCTCATAACTATATGCATCCCTTAGACTATTTGCTAGTAGATTTGGTGAGAATTTTCTTTAAAGAAAAATAAGGAATGTTGTTTGAATTTCTCCCCCAAGTGTGCTATGTTGTACTGTTACTTGTGTTCATGCTTTCCTCAGAAGTTCTTTTCGGATATCAATATTTGAATCACCACCAGTATTATCCTGGTTTTACAGATGGGGACAATGAGTTTGACAGATTAGATTGTTGGCTCTTGATCACAGAACAGAGAAGATTTACTGGAATGACTCCTAAATTACACAATCATGCTCAATCATTTGGTGCCCCACCTTTTTGTTTGTTATAAATTGCTGTTCTTTGAAAGGAAATAAACTGTCATCTCTGAGCTAGTACATATTTTTTTAAAAAACATTCTTTTGAAAGAATAGAATGCTGAATCCATGATGTTTTGTCAAAACTTTAAAAAATAATATATATTTTGGTCAATCCATAGCAGATCCATTTGCCTTTTAATAGACTCTTCTACTGGGGACATTTTTAATGAGGTATTGTGCTGGCAAGGCCTAGTGTCAGGTACTAGAAGAAGCCGCTTTGTTGTGCAGATGTCTTAAGAATTGCTCCAGAGGATGAAATATGACTGTGTTGACCTTTCAGCTGTGAGCTTATTTGTCAGGATTCAAATAAGTTGAAAGGATCAAACCAAACAGTTTCCGTAGTCAGACTGGGAATTGCGTTTCAGAGGTCAACAGTGAGGGCCACGTCGCAGATTCCATAACATAGCCAATTGTTGGTATGTATTAAAGTGTTGGAGCTGCTGCAGCAGTCAGAGACACAATTAAAATTCTAATTTATTAATGTATACAGAGAGCTGGTCCAACCTGTCACTCACTGATTCAAATGACTGCCCATTCTTTTCCCCCCCCCTTGCTCCTTGAGCTTTTGCATCCTTAAACCTACTCTTGAATATAGCACACACTGTGAACCCAATGGCACAATAAAGATGTGTAGTTTATATGTACCGGAGGAGTAATTGTTAAGGAGAAATATACACACAGATCTTTTCTCATCCCCTTTGCCAATATGAAGTACTGAATAGTATTGTTTGTGTCACTTTTATCAGCAGTCGGTAGTTGTATTCAACCTGAAATCAGTGTAACGATTTCCAATTATCCTTGTCTAAATAACAAACTGGATTCTTCTGCTGTTTTACCAATGAACTGAGCTCCTTGTCCTTTTTGAAAAGGAAAGTATGCTGATGGTGTTAAATTGATTTTTTAAAAAGATTTATTAATAAACTTGCTGGCAGCGTTTTTCAGAAATTACTGCACCAATTTTTCTGTTGTTTTAGGTTCTATGCTTTAAGAGCCATTATTTATTTATTTATTTATTATCCGCCTTTCTCACAGGGACTCAAGGTGGATTGCACATAGTGAGCCAGTACAATAACAAAATAGGATATTTCATTACCAGTGCTTTAGGATTTTACAAGTCTGGAACCACCAGAAGGAACTGAAGTATAGCATAATTATTCACATGACATGTTAAGTCACATGACATGTCATTCACATGACATGTTAAGCAGTACAGCAATTACATTAATAGGATCGTACTTACAATAAGCTATACACAGCAGTATAGACCACAGTCCCTAATCATTTATCCAAGCAAGGTTGTAAAACCATTTTGGGCGGTGCAACCGTACTATCTGTGCAGAAAGTCCTCTTGAATACTGCCATTTTTTGTTGTGTTTCCTAGCTTTGGGGGTGGTACTGTTATGTTCAAGTACAAAAAAAAATAGATTTACTTTGCTTGAAACATGGAAGGACCTTGTTTGCTTGAAAGATGGAAGGAGTGAGACAATGTTAATCTAGAATGCCATGTTTTAGATCTGCCTGCCCCAGAGGTTGTAAGCTGATAACCAAGGAGGTTGGGCCAGCAGGCTAGAGATGTTGAATGATACAGACAATTTATGGTCACTAAAGGATATTGCTAAGTGAAGCTCAGTCAGTCTGATTTAGTAGTAGCTGGGATATGGCTAGGGCCATGCACAGAAGTAGACAATTTGATACTTTCTCACATTCTTAGCAACTCATGAATGAAGAAGCTTGAAAGCGTCTTACATACTTCAGTGTTTGACTTGCATCCATTGACTTTGAAACAAGAGTACAAACCAGTTGAACGTCTTCCAGAAGAATGTCCTTTGTTACTTTTTGACCTTGACAGCTAGTGGTAGAGACTTGTTCTACCACATTTCATATGTCTGTGTATAAGCATTTGTCTGAGATGTGGTCTACTGCTATTTTTTTGTTTTAATCTTCCAAATACAAATGCTGTGACTCACATTTTTAAGCCCAGTTTGTATACAACCTTGTCTTTTATTTGGCAGGGGTCTGTGCCTTCACAGCCTAATACTACAAACAAAAGACATTTGAAAGTTTGAAGAATGAATTTTAATAGCCAGAAATTGGAAGACTATAAAAATACCAAAACCACTAAAAATAAAATGGGTAGAGCATAAAGATTAAAGAACTTTGTGGAAATATTTGGCATTGATGTTAACTTTTATTTTATAATGCACAATAATTATTTTGCTAGTGTAGGTTAGCCCTGGAGATTTATTATCTTCACCTGGCCAGGATGTATATGCCTAGGACTAGATCTGCCATTGATTACAAAATACACTTATAATCACTCACTTTTGGTGTAAACTTTTTTCTGTCCTTTAGTTGATGGCATGAATTTAAAAACTGGAAGCAAATTAAGAGACAGTGTTATTTTATTTTATTTTGCTCAAGAAAATAAAACTTCATGTATATT